GATGTGACTTTTGATCTCGGGGCTGTGAGTTTGAGCCCCATGTTGGGTGTAGAGATTACTTAAATAAATAAATAAATAAATATTTAAAAGAGAGAAAGAAAGAAAAGAAAGAGGGGTGTCTGGGTGGCTCAGTCGGTTAGGCATCCGGCTCCGGTCATGATCTCAGAGTTGTGAGATAGAGCCCTGCAGCCCATGCTGGGCATGGAGCCTGCTGGGATTCTCACTCTCCCGCTCCCTCTGCCCCTTCCCCTCCTGCCCCATCTGCCCCCCACCCCCACCCCCACTCACACCCATGCATCCTCTATACCAGCCCTCACTCTCTCTCTCTAAAAAAAAAAAGAAAAGAGAGAGAAAGAAAGAAAGAAAAATAAACTTTACAAAAAAAAGAGCTAAAAAGAATTACTCGGAGGAACATAAAATGTCGTGCTACCTACTCACGAACGGTCACCTTGCCCAGCCTTGGCTCCCTGACTTACTGCCCTGCCAGGATCCTGCCCCACTGTGGTAGAGGCCACTTGGATGCACTCAGGTCTAACTAGATCCTCAGGGTTCAGGCCTAAGAGAGAAAAACATAGAGTGATGCTCCTTCTAATGCTACGCAAGGTCTGAGTGATAAATCCACATTTCCTGACCCGGGATGCTCTTCATCCAGGACAACTGATGTTGTGAATATCCGTTCCTTTCAGGGAACGTCTTGTCCACACCCCCTCCCACACCCCCAAAAGGGACAGATTCAATAGACTCTCTCAAAACATAGTCATCCACCGTTACTATAAGAGATACACAAACAGTGGGAAAAGATAAGTTCAGTGAGCTTTCTAAAAGATCCCGAAGCCCCCAGCACCTCCCCACCATTACACATTGTTCTGTAACTGCCTATTATAAACTTGGAGTTCCGGGAGGGAAGGAACCATGTTTGTCTCACTTACAGTTCTATGCCCAGTAGCTATCCCAGAGGCTGCTGCATAGTAGGACCACGATAAACATTTATAGATGAGGCAGCTAGAGCCTAATTAGGTCTGGGACGTGCTAGAGATCACACAGAGAATTGATGGTTGAGTTAGCGTTCAAGCCCAGGAACTTTTCTATTCCCTGACCCCCCCACCTTAGCTGAACCTATTTAGCTAAGTGAATCAGTAGGTAAAGACCAAACTTCTCTTGCCCAAACTACTGCAAAACCCTTTCTGATCTCCCTACCACTATTTCTCCATACAGTTTCTAAACCTTAAATCATGCATGCATGTGCACACACACACACAGCCACACCTGTAGACCCTCTGACCAAATCAGTCCTTCACATGACTGATTAAAGCGTCCCAAGTTTGATTCTTTCCCACCAGTGTGGTCTTGACCTCATGTTTTCACCCTCAGGCATGACCCCTCTCATGCCTATCTTGTTTATCCAGAAAACTCCCCCTCCTCCTTGAAGATGGAGCTCAAAATCACCTGCCTTTGTAAAATGTTCTTTGACCCTCCCTCTCAAGCTCAGCTCCCAGTGTTTCCATGGCAACAGACCATTTCTGCCTCTTGGACAGCTCACATAAAATCACCTCACCCCTGTCTCCAAGGGAGGAAGGTCTCCCCTACTGGTGACTGGTTTATCTGTTCCTCCACAGCAAGGCCCCAGTGTGATGCCCATGGCCCCTCATGTCTAGCTCAGGGCTTGGCACACAGTAGGAGCCCTGGGGGACTTTGTGGGGAGTTGGCTAAGTGAGGAATGAGACACGGAGGCCCCTAAAACCAGCTCCCAAAAAAGCAGCCAAATCCCTCTGCCCTTCCCACATTTGGAATTTCCAGGAAGTGCCGTTTTTTTCTGCAACCTTCTTCAAGCAACTGAGATTATCTAAGCAGCAAGACAGAGCCAGGTGAGGGGAGAGATGGGTCGCAATGTCAAGAATGTGTGTGCCCTTCCCCTCTCCTAAGAACACTTTTCCAGGTGAGCCTCACCTAGGACAGCCCAGGCAAGATCTGTGAGAAAGGGGCAGGGAGCTATTTTAGAGTCTGGAGTGGGAAGGAGCACCCAAATGACTCTAGTTCTGAAGCATTCTTGTGTTGAATAGTTACCTAGGGCACTCTTTAAAATGTGGATACCAGGGCACCTGGGTGACACAGGCCCTTAAGCATCCGACTCTTGATTTCAGCTCAGGTCATGATCTCTGCATCGTGGAATCAGCCCAGAGTCAGGCTCTGCGCTCAGCGTGGGGTCTGCTTATCCCTGTCCCTCTGCTCCTCTCTCTCTTTATTTAAAAAATAAAATATTTTTTAAAATGCAGATTCCTGGGCCCTGCCCCCACAGTCTATAATTGAGTAGGTCAAGGTTTGCCTAGGAATCTACATTAAAAACTAAACAGGGGCATCTGGCTGGCTCAGAGCTTGCAACTCTTGATCTCAGCGTTGTGGGTTTGAGCCCCATGTTGGGTGTAGAAATTACTTAAAAATACAATCTTTAGGGGCTCCTGGGTGGCATCAGTTAAGTGGCTGCCTTGGGCTTGGGTCGTAATCTCAGGGTCCTAGGATCGAGCCCTCCCTGCTCAGTGGGGAGCCTGCTTCTTCCTCTCTCTCTGCTGCTCCCCCTGCTCGTGCTCTCTCTCTCATGCTCTCTCTCTCTCAAATAAATAAAAATAAAATCTTAAAAAATAAATAAATAAAATAAAATCTTTGAAAAACAACAACAAGAAACAAAACCAAAAAACTGTCCCCAGTGATTCAAATGCAAGAAATCCTCAGACCACACTTTGAGAAACCCAGGCCAAGAAAGTGTTTTCTGGCACCAGCTGAAGATCTGGCATTCTCCTCTCTCTCTCTCAACTCCAGCCTCAGGGACCTAGATGTCTGTAGGGATCCTGGGAAGAGACAATGACCCTGGGAGGCTGACCCACGGCAGGATTCCAATAGGCAGAGAGGTTAAGCCTATAAAGTGTCGGCCCAGAGGGCAGAACAGGCCCTGGCAGAGCAAGTCACAGGGAGGCAGATGTCAGCTCGACCCCAGGAAGACTTTCATGGCAGATCTATTGGATCACTCCCAGCGTAAGTCTCGCCATCTAGAAGGGAAGCTCCCACTATACTTGGATAACTCTAAATTCCCTGGCGTGGCTACAAGGCCCCTCAGAATCCAGCCCCTGCTTACTTCTCCAATCCTTCACAGTCGCCCATTTCCAGAACTTAGCCTGCACCCCCACCAAACAGAACCTCTCTGGCTCCTCCAAGATGCCAAGCCCTCCGCCTGTTAGCCTTCCTTGCTTGCCTCTCTCCTCCAGGATTTGGCCCATTCTGGTAGCTCTGCCTAACCTGCCCGTCCCCTATTTCTGTCCTCCTTAAGTTAGTTCCCTCTAACCCCACAGCTGGATGACAGGTTCCTGATCTCTGCTCCTTTTATACCCCATATGAAAATTATTCACTGCCCCCCCCCAAGACCTAACATATTATCTGTACAAGAATTATTTACTGGGTGCCTGGGTGGCTCAGCGCCCGACTCTTGATTTTGGCTCAGGTTACGATCTCAGTCAGGGTTGTGATATGGAGCCCCATGTCAGGCTCTGCATTTAGTGGGAGTCTGCTTGAGATTCTCTCCCTCTCCCTCTGCCCCTCCCCCTGCTCACACTCTAAATAAATAAATAAAATCTTTTTATTTTTAAAAAATATTTACTGAGTTGAACTGTTTGATTTTTTTTTTTTTTAAGAGACTGACTGAGCCAGCCAGGCGCCCTGAGGGTTATCTTTATTTATTTTTATTTATTTATTTATTTATTCATGAGAGAGAGAGAGAGAGAGGCAGAGAGAGAAGCAGGCTCCCAAGGAGCAGGGAGCCCGATGCGGGACCCGAACCCAGGACTCCAGGATCATGACCTGAGCCGAAGGCAGACGCTCAACCATCTGAGCCACCCAGGCGCCCCTGAGGGTTATCTTTCAAAAGTAGCCAAAGCCCAGTGAGCTGATCATTTGATGTCAGTTTGGTTCATAAAAATTTGTATTCAGGAAGACAAAGGAAATTCATTTCAGAGCAGCAACCCAGATGGAAGGGGGTGGGGAGAAGGTATCACCCTGGTTTTCCAACCCTCCAATCCAGCTTCCGTCACACCTGCCCCTGAAAAAATAGGTACTTGCCAGGCCTGTCTGGACCCACTGGGCATAGAGCGGCCCCACCAACCTTAGGTGAGGCAAGTTTCTCAAGTACTAATTCCCTATCTTTTGAGTATGGGCCCCTGCAGCCGGGCCTCACCAACTCAGCCTGGTGGTACTTAGTGGTTACTGTGTACCAGGCTCCAAGTGACCAGGGCAGACAAGGTCTGAGTCTCCCCAGCCCATTGGTTGGTCCCATAGCCTGTCAACTGGGGTAAACCAGGTTTCCAACCCCGGCTTATCAATGGTGACATGTGGGTATCCCTGCAAGATAGGCCAGGAGGTCATACAATGCCCTGAGCCAGGGCAAGTGGTGGTAGAGCTGCTGGGGAGCTGTTTGGTTTCCTAGCTTACCTCTGAAGCACAGATCTTTCCAGAATGTCTTCACAGTCCCCAGAGGTGGGAGAATCCAGTGTAGATGGATCCATGCCAGCCCTCCCTCACCCCCAACCCTACTCCAGGGAGATAAACCTCGCTGGGGCCTGAGCCCCACGGGTCAGGATATCTGAAGGGGGCTGGGGACAGGAGCCCAGAAGTGTGGTTGTTCAACCTGCTAGTTGATTAGCTGTGTAACCTTGGACAAGCCCCCTTCCCTCTCTGAGCCTGGGATTCCTCCTTTATAAATGGAGGAAAGGGACTAGACTGGTGTTTCGGGACCTTGACTATGAATCAGAATGATCTGAGCAGCAGCAAGAGAAAGGAACTTGAAAACTCACAAATCCCTGGGCCCCATCCCAAAGCTCCTAAAGAATCTGAATTCCCATGGAGGACAGGCCTCCTCCAGCCCTGGCCCCCAACCTCACCCCAGCTGGGGAGCCTCTGGAGTCCCTCCAAACCTTCCCCAGCCCCCGTCCACTGAGAAACTCTTTGGGATACAACCCCTAGGCCTCCTTGGACCAGGGCTAGAGTAAGCTGCCCCATCTCTCTCTCCAAAGACTTCTGGAGCCTGAAGCACTAGTCAGTGAGCAGTTTATTATCCATCAACTTGTCCCCAGCCTCCCAGCAACCGTGTCCTGTACACAACTAGACACAGCCTTCACTCCCGTCTGTCCTCACTCCCGGCCTCGGACCCCACTCCCATCCTAGCCCTCCAAGGCAGCACCAGGCCCAAGGGCCACACCTCAGCTAGGGGCAGGGGAGAGGAGGCAAAAGCTGGAGAAAGAGGAGCTAGATCGGCCCCAAGCTTCTGGAACCAGCACCCCAGGAGGAAGGGAAAGTGGGCAAGGCTGGGGGGAGCTGGGGTTGCCAGGCGATGCTTCAGGCAGGAGGCTCTTCTCCGGGAGGTGCAGGGAAGCCACTCAGGTCTCGGCCAATGATCTCACTCACTGTAAAGGAGGGGCAGTTGAAAGATTGGGCTAGGGACTGGTCCCCTCCTTCTCCAGAGACCCCCAATCCATTCCAGGCAGGCCTCAGTCTAGGATTCCTCTAGGCTCCTCCTCTACTGGCTTCTCTTCCACTGGTCCTTAGTTTCCCCAATATGTCTTGATACCTGGTCCCAATCCAATCTCGCTCAATTCCATCCACGTGGGCTCCCAGGCCCCCATCCCAGCCCTTTCCTGCCGGCTCGGCCTGCAACGTTAGGGCAGTGGCTGTCAGCAGCGCTGCGGGCGGGGGTAGCCAGTGGGAGGAAGGAGACACAAAATACCAAGGCTCCTCACCACCAATCCTGACCACAGTCACCACGTGGAGGGGAAAGCTGAGGCAAGGGAAAACATGCTCAACTGGGACCTCTGCAAGCCCCTGCCCCTCTCTGAAATACAGTGTCTGAATCTGCAAATTGAGGAAGCTAGGCTGAATGATCTTGAAAGTGCTTCTAGCCCTGAGATTTTGTGATCTGGGGCAGAGAGCAGAGGCAGAAGGGCGGGGGCAGGTACTCCATGCACCCTCTGGAACTAAGTTTAACTGGATTCAGGCGGCCACATGCACCAAGCACTTGCCTCCCGAGACCCTCCGACTGGCCCTGAGGGACCGAGGACGCCCCATCTCTGGGAAGCCAAACTCCAGCCCTCAGCAAACATGCAGAGCAAACTCTTGCGCACACTCACACTCACAGCCCCCAGTCGCACACCCACCTTCCTCCAGCGTGATACCCTGGATAGGGACACTGTCTCGGAAGCCGCTGCCGTAGCCACCCCTGGATTTCTCCTGCTCCGGAGCCCCCTCCCCAGGGCCATAGCTTGGCCCTACCTCATTGTATCCCTCAGCAGATGGGGGGTGAACACCACTCTGGGGAGGGAAGGGGCCTTCCAGTGGTGGGGATGAAGGCAGTGGAGGCCGAAAGGGGGCTGGAGGAGGGAATGGCAGCCCCAAGGGAAATGGGGAGCCCCGTCCTCCATAAGGGTCACTAGGGAAGGGCCGGGGAAGGAAGGAGACTGGAGGTGGACGGGCACAACCGGTGGCACCCCCAGTCTCAGGAAACATCCGCAGGCCAGGTCTGTAGGATGGTGGGGGCCCCGTCTGGGGGTACAGAGGGGGTGTGCCATAGCTGAAGCCTTCTGACAGGTAAGGAGTTTCATAAGCAGGGTCTTCATGGGGATAGGAGGGGTAAGGGGGCCTGGGTGGTGAGAAGTCCATGTCAGTGCCAAAGGGGGGGCCAGGTGCTGAAGGGAAGCCGCGGAGAGACGAGTCGGGTAAAGGCTCCTCCTTGAAGATCACTAGGTAGGAGGGAAAGCAGGAGGACACACTGGTGAGAGGGCTTGCTATCTCCCCACTGCACAGCCTCCAACCACCTCTCCATCCCCAGGCTTCAGCCATGGCTTGGCCCCTCACGATGAGGGCCCTGCATCCCTCTGCCCCTGCCTCAGCTCTCCATACCCCCACCGTGGGCTGTCCTAGAGCGTACCAGGCAGGAACTTGAAACTCTGGGTAGGACTGCGCTTCCTCCGCCCATTGGAGACATAAAAGTAGACCTGGACTGGCCGGGACACCCGCTTGTTGCTGTACTCGGGGACAGTCAGGGTCAGCGTCACCTGGGGAACGGCACAAGATGAGGTGGGGAGACTTCAGGGACCCAGGCTCAGCCCAGCCCTCCCAAGGACCCAAGCTCCACCCCCTGGCTTTTTTCATTTGCTTAACAGCAAAGTTCATTCCCTTGAGATGAACCTGCTTCTACGGTAGCCAGGCCGCCTCCTTCAGAAAAGAAAAGGTAGCTTCTGGACTCCATTTCCAAGGGCAAGAGACAGATCTGTGAATTTCCTGACTTCTCCCGCCACCCCCCAGGGGTGGGTGCCCTAGTGACACGGGTACCTCGTTGCTCTGCAACCGGTTCACTGTGGCCTCCTCCTCCCATTGCAGCTTCCCATCTGTGCAGGAGGAACAGAGAGCTCCAGCCCAGCTCCAGGGCCCCTGCCCCCTGCCCCCTGCCATTTTCCCTCCTGCTAGAGCCAAGGCCAGACTCAGAAGTCCCCTACGGGGCCTGGCTCACAGAGGAGCCCACTGAGTGTTTATTCAATTGGATGGAAGAGGCAGCAAACTGAAACCAAGAGAAATGGCAGGGCCAGCCCAGGAACCAGAGAGAATTCATGATGGAGGCAACTCTTGAACCCCCCCATCCAGCTCCAAACATTCCCTCCCATGACAGTGCTGGGACGAAGTTCAAGGTTAGGAAAGGGTCCTAGCTTGAAGGAAGACCACGCGACCCCAATCTCAAGGTCTAGAACCTCTGAACCTGCTTTGACATGGTCTCAGGGTGCTAAATTTGAGTGTAGGAGCTGGGGCTCTTGATGGGCAGGGCTAGGGGAGGTGGTGGTTTTGCCCAGACCCCTCAGTCTCCCCTTCTCCAGCCCGGCAGCTGCCCTGAGGCCGCTCACAGGCTTTGTAATCACAGTTGTGCTACCAGGCCCATAACTCAGGAGGGTTTCAGGAGCTCACCACCCCGAGACCAGGAGTCGCCTGCTCCACTGACTGAGCCAGCCAGGGACCTCCCCCCAGCTCTTGAGCCTTTGAGATTGCTGTCACACCCACCTCCCCATGGGAAGCAGACAGGACAATGGGAAGGGCAGGCTCTCTGTTCCCTTTTACAGATGAGGAAATGGAGGCTCCACTTGCTAGCTTAGGGACAGCGCCAGAGATCTTTCATCTGCGCAGTCCAAACTCTTCCTGCCTGCCCCCCGCCCCCGTGGGTGCTCACCAGGGCCCCTCTCGATGAACACCACCTTGGAGTCTGGCAGGAAGTTGGAGCCAGTGAGCACTAGTTCCTCTCCTCCTCTCACGGAACAGGCACTGGGGCTGTACGCCTCTACCTGGGGCAGCTCCTGGGCCGAGCGCTGGGCTGCAGAGCAGGGCAGGAAAGAAGCTGGCTGGGCTGAGTACCAGAGGACAGAACCCTCTGCCCCCACCCTCCTTGGAATAACTGCCGCAGGACCCTGGAGGAGTCCTCCTCAGCAGCAGACACACAAGTAAATCAACGGTATCCCTGGGGTCACACAGACCAGGTAAGGAGCCCGGGCAGAGAGAGAGAGATGAACAAGGTCACCAAAGGCCAGAGTTACCCAAACAAGGACACAGAGCCACCCAGGGACAGATGGAGGCCGGGGCCACTCTAGTCCAGCCCAGAGACAGAGTCTGCAGCAGGGATAAATTAGAACACTGCCCCCACCCCCTCCAAAAGAGAAATAAGTGCTGAGTCCCTTTCAGGGCTACCTAGGACAGACAGGACACAGGACACAAGGCAGAAGAGCTGCGAAGCCACACAGACACACAGAGAGTGAGCGGCAGGAGACACAGAGCCGGCTCAGGGCCTCTTTGCTCACAGCACTCAATGGGCACTGATGCTGTCTGCACCGAGGCGACCTTCCCGCTGCCCTGGGGCACGTGCACCCGGAACACGAGCCGCACTCGTGTGTTCTTGCGCCCAATGTCTGTCTCCCCCTTCCGAAGCTCGATGTCTGAATTCCGGAGCTTCAGGATTCCAGCACAGTCAATGCTGAAGGCAGAGAACGGAAGGCAAGCCCTCCCAGCTGAAGCCAGAATAGTGATGCCCCCACAAGAGGGAAGCCCCCACCCTTCATCCAAAGCCCTGAATGACTTCATCTGGGAGCCTTGAGGGTGGGGGGTGATTTTCTAATCAAAGGTGGTCTCTCCAACGTGCTCCCTAACCCCCAAAGTCCTCTTCTAGATCGTGAAAAGCCTGAAACCTGCTCCTAGGGGTGATGTCTAGCTCTTCTGGGAAGAGGAAGAGTGGGCCTAGCTTAGACCTCATGGAAAAGTTGGTCCTAAAGCCTGAAGACTGAGGGGAAGTGAAATGGGGACCTACTTGGCTGCCATGTTGTTCTCAGGAAGCAGGGTCATCTCCAACACTTTGGTACCACTGACGACAGCTTCATAGCTAGCCGTGGCCACCATCTTGCCCGTGATACGGTGCACCTGATAGAAGGCATGAGGCCGCAGGTTCCTTTCATCTGCAGTGCCAATGAACATCTGTAGAGTCAGTGGCTTCTCACTGTAGCCTAGGAGCTGGCAGAGGGAGAGAGAGGCCACCCAGTTGAAATCCCCACTGTCTCATCCTTCATCCATCCCTGGGTTTTCAGTCCACCAGGGGATGAGGATGGTGAAAGATAAAGGATATCCTGGAAGGGATTCCCAGGGGGAATTGGGTACCAGCTGTGGAGAAAACGTGGCCTGGAGTTCACAGTGCTATTCTTGGAATAAGGCCCAAACTGGGCTGGGCAAAGGGGAAAATCTTCCAAGAGAGACTGGCCCAACTCAACAGACAACCTAACTCCCAGTGAACTTTGGCCTCAGCCTAACCCCTCCCCCACATCTGGCACACCACCATTTTCCAGAGTAGACATGAGGCTGGTGTCCCATGGGAAGAATGGAGGGGGGGGGCGGGGTGGAGGGACAGAGAAATAGAAAGTATATCCGGGTCCTTGAAGTACACCCTTCCTCCCCTAACTCCAGCCCCTCCCCCAGGCTGCCTGCAGGGTCAATGCTGAGAGGGAGTGTGGGAAAGGGCAGTGCCATGGGTCGGCACAGCTGGAGCCCATCTGCAGGGATCTGGGACTGGAGAAGAGAAAGGCTATCAGGCCTGCCCTCTGCCCCTTACCTTGACTACAGGGTGACCACCAGGGGCGGCTTTGACAGCCCCTCGGCTGCCCTCAGTCTCATAGTGGGCCCGGTGGTGGGCTCTAGGCTGCACCTCGATCCTCAGCTCCAGCTGCTCATACTGGCTGGGCAGAGGCCAGTCCAGCGGGGGTAGGGCAGAGGTCCTGGAGAGGAGAGAAGAGCACTGATCATCTGCAGCCTCAGACGCCAGTCAGAGAAGCACTGGGCCCAGCTCCCTGGGATGTGAGGGAGGAGGGGGTGTGGGTATGGGAGAAAGGAAATCACAGCAGAAATAAAACAGTCCAAAAGCCCAGAAGCAAGGGGAAATAGGAGACACCCCTCTCAGAGCCCCTTGAGATGAGGGTGTGGAAAATGGCCCCAGGCCTGAGACTCCCTTCTTTCCAGCTCTGAGCACAGGGTTTGGGGTGGCAAGGGTTCATTCACCTGGATACAGAGGTGAACCTAGACCTAATCATAATCCCCAGACCTGGATGGGAAGAGTCAAGTAAAGGAATATGACTTCAGACCAGAAAAGTCCTCAGAGGTTCACCCCTTTGTTTTTCAAATAAGGAAACTGAGGCCCCAGGGGAGTAGAATACAGCAGGCCAAGCAAGCCAGTGACTGACAGAAGCCAGGACTGTTTCCAGCACCTTTTCCTCTAGTTGGGGGCGGACAGGTCAGGTCCAGAAAGCTGGGGGTTACAGATGGGCAATTTTCCTGTATTGAGCTCGAAGATATCCTCCAGGTGGTGGCTGGCAATGTCTGGAGACAATTTGAGGAGTCCCAACTAGGGAAGAGGGGGCCACTAGCATCTAGTGGCTAGAAGCCAGGGATGCTGCTAAGTCATCCTACAGTGCCCACCACAGCCCCATACAACCCTGGCCTACAGGAACCCAGGGGAACAGGCATTAAGGTTTCTTTCCCCGGATGGAGCCAGCTCAATCTGACATCCCCAGATTTAGGATTATTGAAATGGGCAGGGTTCTTTGAGAGTAAAAGGGGTGGAAGAACTATATAAGCCCCGCTTGTTTTAATACGAATTCTTTAACTTACAAGCTATTTTATTCAAATTAGCAGCTACACTTTTAATCAATAAGTCAGGGCCCTAGAAATTAAGTGAGAGAAGAGAGACTTCCTGCTACCCAGTGCAGGGTTGAAATCCAGCCAGGCTCATGCCCAGCCAGTGCCAGCACAGAGCTGGGGGTGGGGGACACCCTAGAGGCACTCCTTCTTTACCTAAGTGGTCCTCCTGGGGGGGCGGTAGGGAGGTTTTTCCTTATTTGTCCACAGGGAGTGATTGTCCTTTTGTAAATCACGTCTGGAGGGGGTGGGGTTTGGGTTTGGTTTGGTTTGGTTTGGTTTTATAATTCTCCCCAAAAGTGGGTAGATGGCAGCCATCAAGCTGGTCGCAGATTCTCTTTTGAAATGCCAAGGGCAGAGAACCAGGACCTTTCTTCAGACCCATCCCTTGACCTTCCTGCTCCCTCAGTGGGATGGCTGGAGACACAGGTGGGGCTAGGCACAATCCTCACCTGAAGATGGGGCTGTGTCCCCCAATCCGGGCCTTGGACCAAGCCAGCGGGGAAGGCACTGCCAGATAGTCCATGCCGGCCACCTCCTTCCGAGGCCCCCCGGGGGGCGCTGCAGTCTCCTCAGCTCCTGCCTGCAGCTTCCCATTGCACGGGGCAGGCTCCTCAGACCGAGGCAGGGCCACGGCCTGCTCGCTGGAAGTCCGCCGGGTCTTCTGCGGGATGCTCTCCGCCGGTGGGGCTCCCACGTAGTCGAAAGGGCCGGGGGAGCCAGGGTCCCGGGCCAGAGGCAATGGGGGTGGTGGCGGTGGCTCGGGCCCCTCCTCCCCTAGGCTGCCACGGCGGGACAGAGCTGGGGAGGCCGAAGACGGGGTTCCCGAGCTGGAATAGCGCCGCTTGCCACATGGAGAGGCGGGCCGTGGGGAGGCTGGGGTGGGCCCAGGAGCGCTGAGGAGTAGCCAGCTATCCTCCGGCCCCCGGCCTCCTCCGGGGCTCGGACCATACAGGTTCCAGGGATCGTCGGGGGTCCACGGCCTAGGGGAGGCCCGGGGCGAGGGCAAGGGGGAGCCCAGGCCAAACCGCGAGGCTGCCTCGTTGAGCTCGGACTCCACCTCGTCACAGGCTGCGTACAGGGCTGCCTCGTCTGAAGCGTCGGAGAAGAAGCTCCACGAGGACAGGCTGCTGCTGCCGGGGCTGGGGCTGAAGAAGGGGCCCCCGCCCTGGCCGCCTGTCTCTCGGTAGCCCCCAAAACCTTCTGGCGGCGGGTAATCCCTGGGGGAGCCGTCCCCCCAGGTATCGGGGTTGTCCTCCAGCGCAACCGGCGGGTCAGGCGGGGGAGAGATGGAGGTGATGCGGATGCTGGGGCATTCAAGAACACGGCCTCCCCCAGCCCCCCTGGAAGCCCCTCCCGGGCCCCCCAGCCTCACTGACCGGGCGGGCTGGCTCTCCCAAGTGCCAGGTGAGGGGGCCGGGCGGGGTGGTGGCGAATGCATGCCAGGCCGAGGGGGTGGAGGCCGGGGAATGCCAATAGGGGCAGCGCCATAGGGAGGGGGCTCCCCCAGGGCCAGACGGCAGCATGGCGGGGCGTCCTCTGAGTCCAGTTCTGTCAAAATGGGAAGGGAGGGGGACAGAGAGAGGGATGCCACAGGAGATGGGGACAAAGAGAAGCAGGTGAGATGTCTGGGTCCCTTGAGTGGCCAGCCCTCCGAGTCCTGTATGCCACCCGCTCCTCAGCATAAGGTGGGGGGGGTCCCTGAGGTGCCCTTCAGAGCCCCGAAGACAAAAGCAAAGTTGGACCTCAGAAGGTGGAGTACACAGATCCAGACGTCCCAGGCCTTTTCCCACTCGGAGAACCTGACACTCCTGAGCCCCTGGCCCTGGGACCTGGGGTACCAGACGGGGCGGGTCTTAAGGTGAGGGAGGCGACTGGAGAGGGGCTGGAGCTGGGCCTGGAGGCGTGTTTAGGGAGGCGCTGGGCTGGGCTGGGGGCGACTCACACATGAACCCAATTAGCAGCGGTTCCCAAACCCCCAAACGGTGCTGGCAGGAGCCCCAGTTGCCATCGCAACGGTGGCCAAGGGTGGGGGGGCGGCGGGGCTGTGGCGACAAGGGGAGGTGGCTCCTCCCTCGCTCCCCCCAGCTGGGGACGGGGGTGCAGCGGAGGGGATGCTGCGTGCCGGGCCCGAGCCCGGCCGCGGGAGGGGGACGCGGGCAGCGCGGATTCCGTGAGAGAGGCCGCCGCCGCCCCCGGCTCAGTCCCCGCCATCTGCCTCTCATTGCGGCCGGCGGAGGAGGGGGAGGGGCGCCCTGGCGGGGCCCGAGAGCTCCCCCAGGCCCCGGCGTCGGGTCCGCGGGCCCAGGGCCCGGTCCGCCAGCCGCACGGTCCAGAGACCCCCCCCCACCCTGGCGGCGCCCGGGGCTCTCGGGGCCGCTCTTCCCGCCCGCCCCCCATCCCAGTGACAGACGGCCCAGCCGAGAGGCGGCGCGCAGCCAACGGCACCCCCACCCCCACCCCAATCACGACCTAAAAAGGAGAAAGTGGTGCCCGGCCCCCAGCCTCACCTCCGCAGACCCCAGTGCCCTGCGACTCCCCTCCACCTCTGAGCCCCTCATCCTCCACCCCAGGCTCGCTGCCCTAAAATCCCCAGACTCGGGATCCCCGGGCCCTTTCCTTCACTGACCCCAAGACCCCTTCCCAGCCCCGCACTAACCTTCCCCCGACCCCCCCGCGCCCAGCGGAGGGGTCTCCTTTTCCTCCCCGAACACCAGCTTAAATTCCAGCTCCTCATCCTCGCAGCTTGCGGCCCCCATGGAGCCGGCCAGAGCCCCCAGGTCCCGGTCTGGGTGGGAGGGGGGGAGCTCAGGAGGCTGCCGTATCTTCACCCGTGGCTCCCTCCCTCCCCTCCTCTGAGACGCCCCCTCCTCCGCCGCTGCCTCCTCCCTCCGGACGCCCCCTCGTTATTATAGAAACTTTTCCAAACTTTTTTCCCCAAACTTCTTCAAAGCGCCCCCCCCGCCTGTCCCTGATTGGCTGCCCGGGATGCTCCAGCCCCTCCTCCAGGGATGAGATGGGAAAACCACGCGCCCCTTGTCCTCCCCCACCCTCCCTCCCTCTGTCCTCTCTCCAGTCCCTCCCCCTCAAAAAAAAAAAAAAAGAACAAAACTGAATTGGAAAAACGCTCCCTTAAGCGTGGTGCAACCTTACTGAAGCTTATTGGCCCGCACTCGTGACAATCATATCCCGCAGGGAGCACTACCACCACATAACCCCCCAATTTAGTCTAAGTTCGGGGGCTCCGGGTCCGAGCGCCTTAAAGCGGATACATCCTGGGCCTATAGTGTGGAGAGCCCAGGGAGATCCTTTCTTAAGTTCTGAAGAGTTGTGCAGCCAGCAACTCTCAAGGAAGGACACCTCTCCTCCCCTTTCCATCCAAGCCTTGAGACCCAGCGGCCTCTGGGGTTCAGAATGGCTACAGGCTGCTCTGAAAAGGAAAAGGTCATCGCTCCCCTGAAGCCGCCTTGCCTGGGCTTTCTGGAAGCCCAACCGAGTCAGCCCTCTCAGCCACCGTCTCTCCCCAACCCTCAAAGGTGAAGAACATTTAGGCGTCTTGGGGAACTGTTCAAAGGTCCATAGCCCCTGATTGGGCGGTGATCCAGGCCGGGCTTTACCGCTGCCCTAGTCCCCGCCACCCAGAGGGGCCATTAATTAGCCTCCACGGGAAGTCGGCTCCCTCCTCGCTAGAACTGTAGTCTGGAATGAATCTCTGATCCGATAGCATCCCGCTCCGACTAGCTTGAAAAATCCTAGCCAGGTTTTCTAAGAGCCCGGAGCCCGGCGACCTTGTGGGCCCCAGGGTTGGACACCTGTCACCTGGGCGGGGGGAGGAAGGAAGACTCGGACTGGAGTTTCCAGGAAGGGCAGGCATGGGGGGGGCCCTGTTGGCGTGAGAGGGAATTAGATAGGAGATTCTTGACTCGGAAGGCGGACCCGGGTGTGGGAGGTACCATTTCTCCCCCCACCACCAGCACCGAAGGTGTACTTCAGACCTCTCTAACAGGCCGCAGCGACCTTTAATCTAAATCCCTCCAGCTCAGGGCTGCGCCCCCTGCGGCGCCCCAGTCCCCGCACCTAAAGGGTTAAGCTACGGCCCTCGGGTCAGACGTTTACAAACACTCGGGAGCCGGGCGGGGACCGCGCCCGTTACTCTAATGAGAAACAGGCTCTGCGGGGCAGAGGGGAAGAGGGGAGGGCTGGCCCGGCGGGCCGGAGCTCCGCCGCGGCCGAGGCGGCTCCCCTCCCTTCCCTCCCTTCCCTCCCGTCCTCCCGCTGGCCCGCCCTGGGGACCCCCCCCCCAGCCCCCGGGGACCCCAGTGACGTGCAGAGCTGCTCCGGCTCGGAGCCCAAGACCGCGACGCTGGAGGGGCGGGGATAAGAGGCCAGGCCGGCGGGGAGAGAAGAATGTCCCTGGGCCGAGCGGGGAGGCGGCCTGGTTTGATTATTCCTTTTCTTCCCCCCGCCTTTGGTTGGTCTCCTCAGGTTACATTTCCCTTCCAGCTTCATCTCGGAAATAAAGGAAGGAGAGACCCACGGGGAGGGAGAGCGAGGAACACCCTGAGACCCGCGACCAGCCTCTACCTTGGGGGGGGCGGTGCTGAGGGAGGAGGGAAGCGGAGGCTAGAAGGGCACGGGTAGAGACCCCAGTTCGGCCCCTGATTGCCCACACGCCACCCCCACGCCCCCCTCCGCTGTACAAGCAGACGCGCACATTCTTTTCAAATGTCATATTTCCTTTGATCCTGGGCAGCGTTTCTCCATGTGCCTAGCTCAGCAACTGCCCAGCCAGCCACCTCCCCCTCTCATCCCCCCCTTTGTATATTTTCCTGGAGAACCCTCCCCTCCTCCAAGCATCTGGAAGGCCCTGAGGGCTGGCGTCGGCGCACATTCCCCTGGCGACTCGGGCCTCGCCTCCCAGTGACTCAATTTCCCCTCTGCCGGTTTCGGGGGGAGGGTGGGGAACAGAGGGGAAGAGTTGAGAGTTTTTGAGCGCAAAAGTGGTACGAACGAAACTGAAGACTGCTCAGAGTGCCAAGCTTCTCCCCGGGAAAGTGGAGGGGGATGGCCCCTGGAGTCGGAAAATCCTCCGATCCGTCTGGGCTGCGCCAGAGGGATGGAATTTATGACTTCTGCCATGTCCTGCCTGTGGAAGAAGGGGTATTTGTAGGTTTAGATTGCCCTACACTTCCGCTCCCCGGCGACCACAAAGACCCAGCCGCCCTCCCTTCAGGACCCAGGTTTCTCGCCCGCCTAGCCTTTGTTCTCGCTCCGCTGCCCCCTAGCGGGCAAACCTGAGCACAGCTAGGCTGTCTCACCTTGTGCTGGTGGAGCGTTTTGCCTTCTGTTCTGCACTTTCCCAGGCTTGATTCAGTGGCCTTGGAGAGGGACGATATCGTTTTGGGGGGTTTTTGTTTTGTTTTGTTTTGTTTTGTTTTGTTTTGTTTTGTTTTGTTTTGTTTTGTTTTGTTTTGTTTTGTTTTGTTTTGTTTTGTTTTTAATTACACGGATACATTCTCCTTGTAAACGACTCAAGCCATACAAAACTATATAGTAAACCGTGATAGTCCACTATTTTGTATACATTTATTAGCATATATGTACACACACTTGCTTTTTTCAGGAACATGAGACCATTGCTACAAGCATTTTTCTTGACTTGCTTTTTTTTTTCTCTGTTAATAAATGGCTTTAAGATCTTTTCCTGTCAGTACACGTGCATCTGAAAATAGTGATAAACATTCCCATCTCTTCAAGGGAGGTTAGTGACACAGCTAGGTCTATGGGTCCTTTACCAGTGCTAACTCCTCCATCCATGCCATATCTTACATAGGAATCAGTCTTAGCCTGGGCTCCCCCAAAAAGCTGAGCCTGAGACAAGAATGACATGTAGGCAGCTTACTGTGGAAAGCAATCCCAAGAGAAAAGCCAGTGGGGAATGGGAAGAGGGAAACCAGGAAGGCAGGCCCAAGGATGTGGTACTCTGCTGGTCACTGCCTGAGCAACTGGAACATTGTCCCACTGGAACCTTCTGTGAGCCATATAGAATGTGATTCAAGAGACATAGAGAGGAGTGGCTCAGTCGGTTAAGTGTCTACCTTCGACTCAGGTCATGATCCTGGGGTCCTGGGATTGAGCCCCACGTAGTCATCATCGTCAGGCTCCCTGCTCCTTGGGGAGTCTGCTTCTCCCTCTCCTTCTGCCCCTCCCCCTGCTCCTTCTCTCTCACTCACTCTCTCAAATTTTTTTTTAATATTTTCTTTATTTGACAGAGAGAGACAGAGCGAGAGAGGGAACACAAGCAGGGGGCGTGGGAGAGGGAGAAGCAGGTTTCCCGCCGAGAAGGGAGCCCAACGCGGGGCTCGATCCCAGGACCCCGGGATCATGACCCGAGCGGAAGGCAGCCACTTAACTGACTGAGCCACCCAGGTGCCCCTCAAATAATTTTTTAAAAAATCAAAAAAATATGTATAAAAAGAGACATAGAGAGGAATATTTATCCACTCACTCTTACCCACAGTGGTCAAAAGTTGCCCCTTGAGTGTTCATCCCCTCACTCTTCCAGGTTCACACAAGTGTCAGGAATGGTAGATGCCCCACAAGGCTGCGGCAAAGGAGTCCCTGGGCAAGGGCAAAGAAAGGAGCTGTAGTTGGGAGCAGATACTGTCAGGTGACACCTGCAAGCAGCTGGTTGCCATAGTAACAGCTAGAGTAAAAAGATGGATGGAGAGTATATGAGGCAGCTAGGATGTGTCCTGTACAAGATCATCCATTCATTCAGACAAAAAATATGTACCGAAGCACCCATATGTTCAGAGGCAGTTCTAGGCATTGGGTACCTATACTTATAAACCAAGCCCCCAAGAATTGCCAGTTATTATCAAGCTGGAAATACATTTCTTCCATGACATCTCCCTCTTCTTTGCCCCTGTAACTGTAGAAAAGCATCAGTTTTATTCATGCGATATCCATCTACTTCCTTTCTATTCCCTTCATTGCCATCCCAATTTAGACCTTGATTTTTTTCTGATTTAGACTCTCAATAACAGCATCTAACATCAACCTTACACATTTGACAACTGAAGTATATATATCATTTTTAAAGCCTATCTCTTCTGTAACAAAAAATTATTTTCAGTATTAATCATGATATGAAACACAAGCATGGCCAGAAAAGAAATATAGTAGAGTACACATTTTCTTTTATTGACCTAATATGCTCATAGTAATGCCAGTACGATACGCCAGTAATGCACATATATAACACACACATATATAGGTATGTGTGTGTGTGTGTGTGCATGTTATTGTACAAGAAAGGAAAAAAGCAATGGGTTAATAATTGTAATTATATACATATACTTTTTATTTTAAGTAAAAAGGAAAAACATTTACATATTGGTCTAAGAATAAATTATAACATTATAATTTCTGTTCCAGGTCTTAATTTTTGCAAATTTGTCAATGACTTTGTAAAAATTGATCTTCCCACATAGACAATAGAGCCAGATTTGTTCATCTATCTCACTCAATGGTTGATCAAAGAAAACTTTTTAATAATGTTAAATGTTGGGGCACCTGGGTGGCTCCGTCGGTTAAGCATCCGCCTTCAGCTCAGGTCATGATCCCAGGGTCCTGGGATCGAGCCAGCTTCTCCCTTTCCCTCTATCCCTCCCCCCTGCTTGTGCACTTGCTCTATCTCAAATAAAAATAAAATCTTTAAAAATTTTTTTTAAAATAATTTTAAACATTTTTGAGATATAACTCATATACCATAAAAGTCATTCTTTGAAAGCATACAACTCAGTAGATTTTAGTGTATTCACAAAATTGTGCAACCTCACCATATATATCTAATTCCAGGACATTTTCACCACCCCAAAAAGGGTGATTAGTAGTCATTCTCCATTCTCCCATTCCCCTAACTACTGGAAACCACTAACCAACTTTCTGTCTCCATAGATTTGTCTATTCTGGACATTTCATATAAATATAATATGTCAACTTTTGTGCCTGTCTTCTTTCACTTCGCATAATGTTCTCAACTTTCATCCATGCCATAGGAATCAGTA